CTGTATATTCTTCTGAATACTTGTCCTTTTGCCTGAAGAGTTCCCTTTGGGGTTGCTCTTAGTGTTAATCTGTTGGCAATGTATTCTCTCAGGGTTTTTCTTTTTTTTTTTGTCGAAATATATCTTCATTATACCTTATGAACACCCATATTTTCACTGGATATAGAATTGTAAGTTTTTTCAGAATTTTAAAGATAGCATTCCGTTGTCTTCTGTAATTTCTCCTGGAAAGCCAGCTGTCACTCTTACTATTGCTTCTTTACAGGTAATGTCCTCCTCATCTCCACCACCCACCCTCTGGCTGTTTTTAAGATTTTTGTTTGTCTTTGAATATTCAACTATTTTTCTTTGAGTACCTAGGGATGGCTTTATTTGCATCTATCTTACTTGGGGTTTGTAAAAATTCCCAAACTTCTGGCTTGATGTCTTTTATAAGTTTGGAAAATTATTAACCAGTAGCTCTTCAAATATTGCTTCTGCCCAATTTCTTCTCTCCTTTCACTCTGAAATTTAAATTACATACTTGATGGACCTTTTCACTATATCATGTAATTCTCTTATAGTCATCTCTGTATTTTTCATTCTTTATGTTTTTCCTTTGAAATCTTCGGTTTGATTATTTTCTACTGATCTAGATTCCATCTTATTATTCCTTTCTCAAGTTGTGTTTAATCTGCCCCTAAATGCATCTATTGAATTTTTTCAGTTATTTAATTTTCAGTTCTAGAATTTCCATTTGATTGTTTTTTAATATATTCTAGTTTCACAGTGAAATTCCTTATCTTTTCTTCTATTTTCCTAAATATATTAATCATAGTTATTCCAATGTTTCTGTCTGATAATTCTAAGATCTGGACAACCTGTGGGTCTGTTTCTACCGTCTATTTCCTTGGATTTTAGCCATTTGATTCTGTTTCCTGCCATGCCTGGTAATTTTGGATTGGATGCTAGAGATTATATATGAAAATTGTAAAGCCTACAGATAACTTGATCATCTTCCACTGAGGATTTACTCTTCTTTGTTAGACATGTTAAACAGACCATCCTGATCTGCTCAGGAATAGAAATTATCTGAGAATATATGGTCTTCATGGCAAATCTGCTACATTTGCCAGGGCCATTCTTTCTTGGAAAGCCCAATTTCTGTCTCCCTAGCCCCATGTACTGTCAGAATCTATGCTTAGATTTTATTGCAGGCTTATTTGAGGCTACTTTTTTGCTTGTTTGAGACCTACTTTGAAGACACTTTGTAAGTAGTTTCTCAGCCCTTTGCCCTTCATATGTGCAGCTCAGGCATAATCCTATAACGCAAGGGGAAGCTAAGTACAGAATGTTGAATTCACTTCTATCGGGTTCCCTTTTCCAGGGATTTTGACCCTCCATTTCTGGATGCTTTGATAGTGCTGAACTCTGACTTTTATCTCCCAACCCAGTGGCTTCTCTAAGTTCTAGAACGTCGCATTCTGTTTGGCTTCCATGCAAAACACCAGATGCTCTAAGGGGAAGATGTGACAGTGAATATAAGACTCATTTCAATGGACTTTTCCATTCTCCAAATACTGACCCTGTAAGTTCTGGCTGCTCATGTTGCTGTTGGATGCCTTCAAAAACTTTTTTTTTAATCCAACTTCTACAGTTGTCAATAGCAGGATTAGTCTAATACAAGCTACTTCTTCATAATATAAAGTAAAAGTCTATTTCATTTCTTTTTCACAATATCCCTATGAATTAACTATTATCACTTTATTTTTAAGGTAGAATGTTATATGCATAGATCTTGGGATTGTTCCATTTTGGCCACTGACCAAAATGTAACACCTTGGATGAGTTTAATCTCCCTTCCCTTTGAATCAATATGTGAAAGATGAAGCAGAAGAAATATTTAAAGATCAAATAATCCCACTTTTATTTAAACTATTTCAGAGCATAGTAAAAGGAAAACTTCCAAATTCATTATATAAAGTTGGTTTCATTCTAATTCCTAAGTCTGAGAAAAATAGTAGACCAACCTCATTTATGAATACCAGTACAAAGAATTATAGACCAATAGATGCAAAAACATATTTAAAATCATAGCAAACAGAATCCAGTGGCATATTTTAAAAAGTATATCACAACTAAGAAAAGCTTATTCCAGAAATACAGGATAGAATAATAGGAAATTTACTATATAAGTCAACCTATTAATAGAGCTAAGAAGAAAAAAAATCATATGATCATCTCCATAAATGCAGAAAAAGTACTTGATAAAATTCAACACATTTATTTTATCTTATTTTTTATTCAACAAATATGTATCGAGCATCTGCTCTATTGCAGCACCCAGGATGCGCGAATGAAAAAGATCCTGGCGCCATCCCAGCTCACATTCCAGCAGAGGGAAACTGTCGATAAATAAATGAGTAAGGGAACAAGCTATTTTTAGCTAGAACATACATTTATTTTAAAAAAAAACTCAATAAAGTATATATTGCTTTCATTTACATAATAAACGTATCTCAGGCCAAAAGCCAGCATTTCACTTAATAGGAAAATGCTAAAGGTTTTCTTCTTAAAGTCAGAAACGAGACAAGGATGCCCAGTATGCCCACAACATTTAACACTGGGTTGAAGAATTAGTTAAAGCACTAAGACAAGAGAAAACAACCAGAACTGTAGGAATTGGAAAGAAAAGATAAGATCAGCACTATTTGAAGATTGTGTAAATATTCAAATGGATACCCCAAAAGAATCAATGGAAAAACTTTCACGAACAATAAGAAATTTGGTCAAATGAGTGGCTATAAGATCGATATAAAATCGATTGCCATCACATATACAAACAAAAACCAGTTAGAAGAAATAATGAAAGAGAAGATTCCATTTATAATACTAAAAGATGTACAAAACAGAAATATTCAAAATGTCCACAAAGAAGACTGCGAAATGATCTCGAAAGAGGCAAAGTTAGACTTTAGCAAATTATTAGGAGTATACCATGTTATTAGATAAGAAGATGCAACATTATATAGATGTCAGCATTCCCTATGGTAATGTATAAATTTTATGCAATCACAATAAGAATTTCAAGAAATTTTGTCTGGAGCTGTAAACGCTGAGTATGAGTATTTCCTGTTCCATGAATACTAGTTGTTTCTGAGGTTGGGGGTGCCGGGTTCTGGCACAGGGAGCTGAGGAACAGTTTAGGAGGAGCTGGGTTTGCTTTATGGTTTACGTCTCTCCAGTTACGCTCATCGTCTCCATGCCCCCTCTTCTGAGCCCTGACCCGGTGAGCAGCCCCTCAGGAACCTGCATGGCGTTTGCTGTGCTTGTTCTGGGCTGTTGGCTGGTAACGCGGGTCTTTCTCAGGTGTACGCGCAGGCCTTTCACTCAGTAGACAGGTGGCAGCCAGAGAGTGCAACTTGGGTAGGACAGACTCCTGCTTCATCTCTAATATTGCCTCCCCTCCTGACCACGAGAGGATGCCGGGCAAGAATGCCAAGGTGTGAAAGACCATGCTGTTGGCTTAAAAAGTGCTGATGCTGAATGATCTTCGTGGTCTCAGTGTTGAAGGAGGTGGTCTAAGTTTGGTGTTTTCTCTTCTTTTCGTTAGTTGCTAGCATAGATTTTCAGCTTATTTTCAAAATTAGGTTTTTCATCCTAAACAGGCCATTTATGATGACTTATAGATACATTTTATTAGTTATGAAACCACAATATACATTTTCAGCCTTCTCCCCTCCCATTACTTCTCACTGAGACTTTTCCTTCTTCCAGAGCTATCCTGTGCTCTCCCCTGGCCTTTTCTTACGCCATTTTCTCTTCCTGGTGCAGCCTCCTCCCCTACTCCTGTCTGATAACCTGCCCATTCTTCAGTGCTCTTTTCAACGGTTCTTTTAAAAACACTTTCTCCAGGCTGGGCATGGTAGCTCGCACCTATAATCCCAGCACTTTGGGAGGCCAAGATGGGAGGATCACTTGAGGCCAGGAGTTTGAGACTAGCCTGGACAAGATAGTGAGACCTTGTCTCTACAAAAAACTAAAAGTAAAATTAGCTGGGCGTGGGGGCATGTGCCTGTAGTCCTAGCTACTTTGGAGGCTAAGGCAGAAGGATCATTTTAGCTCAGGGATTAGAGGTTACAATGAGCTATGATTGTGCCACTGCATTCCAGCCTGGACAACAGAGGGAGACTGTCTCTAAAGATAAAAACAAAAAAACCCCCACACTTTTCTTTATGTTTCCATCTGAATGTGAAGTGCTGGTATTTATCAAGGCAAATCACCCTTGGATTTCTCAGTACTTTCTGTTTGTTCTGTAGCCCCCTGTTCAACTGTGAATATCAATGCAGGAACTCCCTTACCTGAGCAACTTCTGAAACACTTTGCTTGTTGCCCTGCTCACATCAAGCATCAATAAAGATGGGACTGAATTCGGAAAAGTCAAGGGTTTAATTTAGTTCCGTGGCTTGAACTAGCTATCCAAATTGTCTGTGGGATCTCACCCTTTGGAAACTATGCGTTGGGTATGATCAATCAGCAGATGCTGGCAACGACCTACACAGGAGCAATGGTGGTCTTCACCGTGGCACCACAAAGCAGAACACACTGCTGGCCAGAGGATTTTAGCCCTTGTCTCCATATGTTCTCTCCAGGCCCTAGAAACATCTCCCGTCCAGGCAGAGGGTGGGGCACCCACCTGGAACGGGGTCTTCCTTAAGACTTGGTACCAGCCCTGATTCCACATACGGAAGGCCCTGAGAGTTAGCTGGGCTCATTAAAAACTACATGATTAACAACCCATTTTTTGCCTAAGCCCCCGAAGCAACAAGTCATTTATATTTATAGAGGTGTGTGTGTGTGTGTGTGTGTGTGTGTGTGCTGAGTTTAGTAGACCCAACATTGCTGAATGTCATGTTCTTACTAGTTCACCTTAGTGTGAATCTGTGACTAACAAGGATATTTGTAAGTATCTGTACATATGAATTATTCTTCACAAACACAAAGTCTTTCTTTTCTTGCAGGAATCCAGAAGCTTTGAAGTCACGAGAAGAGAAGGTAGGGGAAATGCACTCGTACCCATTTGATTCCAGTGTTGACATTTTGAAAGTGGTTTGCTGAAACTGAGATGAACTTCAGACTGTGGAAAGCTCATTCTTTGAAATTTCTTGTGGCCTTTTCTGGGCACTGACCGCTTGACCTTCGGTTCTAGGGGCTCCAAGAACTGCAGGCCAGGTTTGCTTGTTAAAACCATATCTTCTACCTTCACATACCGGAGGTGAGGTCTGGGGAACTGGCTCATCCACAATATTGTTTATGGTCTCTTAAGAGAAGCCTCATTTTTGAGTGAAGTTTGACGTTAATTATTTAGTTTCATCCACCAAAAGTTACATCATCAACCAAAAAAATGGCTTGCAGTTTGAGATGTTTTAATATCTGGGAAGAGATGTCACTGTAAAAAATATTTCTGATTAGATTTTTTACAGCTTCACCTCAGATGAAATAGAAATGACCAGTTAATGTTCCTTTTGAAAACAATTCCATGACGTTCTATTTTCCCTGCCAGCATTTCTCTTAGCACATTTGTTTTCTGGCCTCCAAGGTAAGCATATAAGGGTGGTAGTTTCAGAAATCTTTTAGTGGAAATTGAAGTCTCCCTTATTCAATTTCAGCAATACCTGGTCTATCGTAAGAGGAGGTCTTTTGTCTGATTTGTAGAATCATTGCCTATCGTCTCCTTGTCGCAGGGATGGGACAGTGACGTCTGAACCCAAAATGAGTTCTTGGTCTAGGGTGTGGTTTAGCCTTAACCACAGCCTTCTCTGTGGTGCTGTCTCTAAAAAGAGTGACAATCTAAGAAGTTAGCACATTCCGTGTTGACTCTTAAATCTGACGTTTCCTGGCCTCCTGGCTGTTCTCGTGCTGTGCAACACAATGAAAGGTGTGTGATGACCGTGTTATCAAGTGTGTTTCTAGAGCTTGGGAACCTGAACTTTTCACACCATCTGTGTCTAGTCCAGCGTGATGTTTGCTGCTGTCCATGGTGCTGGAATCCTGAGGTCAGAGGATCTGCTAATTTGACTCTGGGGGTGAACTTTCTGGCTTCCATTCCCAGTTGCCATTATCTCTGGTTTTGGACTTGCATGTGATCTGTGCTGTATCTTTAGGGAAAACTGCATTGTTTGTATGTCAAAACCAAACAAAACTGGTTGAAGGGGGATGGGGCAGGGAAGGATGTTTCTTACGGAAAGCAGCGTTCACAATGGGCACAGCGACCCGTGTGAGTTGGAGAGAAATAGCCGTAAGGAGAGAATTTGACATGAACTTTGGTTTTGAATAATATTCTATGTATGTCAGTACTCCTGACCACGAATATTTGGAATTAATTTGCATTATGGATACACATATAAATTTAACCTTTTTCGAATCTTACGGTCCTTGTGTTGGAAATGTCTCTAGTAAGGTTGGGGTCATAGGGGAACCCTGTGTATTTCCCCTCAAAGGCACAGAAAGGCCTGATTGAACTTAAGGCTTCAACCCCCAGAAGAGCGAGAGGGTCCAGAGGGTGAGTGACGGCTCAGTCAGGCTGAGCTCTGGTCACCCCTAACCTCTCCCTCTCTGGAAGCAGCAGCCTTTACAACTGATTGGCTGGGACCATGTGCTTTGGGTTTGTACCAGCAAATTTTTCCTGATATCACGTAAACTTTTTTCTTCCTATTGTGTGCTGACGTCTTTCGTGCTTGTTTCTGTTAAAGTTGAGTGTTTGAGGGTTCCTGAAATAGCCCAGTGCCCTAATGTCCATGTTTGTAAGCTGGCAGGCCGGAAGGAGGGGCGGGACTTTGCAGGTCGGTTCAAATGTTTTTGGGTTTGAGAACTCACTGACTTGGATTGTGGGGTTTTTAATTTTCTCCAGAACAGTATATGAGTATAAAATACTAGAGGCACTGTGAATATTTCAGTAAATTAAGACATTGTTGTTTAGGAACAAACAGGCTGGTTCCTAGCTCTGACGTGACCTGGAGCTGGAAGAGGGGCAGGGAAGTCACACCTGCAGAGACCCCTCCTCATCAGCCCCCCAGTCCCTCACAGACTGGCCCAGGGCCAGAGCTGTTCAACGGCTGTTTCTTACATTAAGCGCAAGCTACATATTTGCTTTGTGTGTATTGTCTTTTCACCCTGGTCCTGTCCTAGCGATATTCAAGTGAGGCACTGAGTCCTTTAGTTCTAGAAAAGTCCTTCTAAAGCAGGGTTCTGTGGATATCCACGTGGTGGTCCTGGCTAATGCACTGACAAAAGTGCTCCCTGTTCAGATAAGCGGTGTTGGTGTGAACTGTGTCCCCGAAAGTTGTGTTAAAGTCCTAACCCAGAACCTATGGACGTGACCCTACTTGGAAATAGGGTTTCAGCAGATGTGGTCAAGTGAAGATGGTGTCACACTGGATCAGGGTGGGTCCTGATCCGATGGGTGGCGTCCTTGTAAGAAGAGGGAAGTGTGGCCACAGACACACAAGGAGAATGCCACGAGACGATGGAGGCAGAGGATGCTGGCAACCGCCAGGAGCCAGGAAGAGGCAGGGAAGGACCCGTCCCTAGAGCCCCCAGAGGGACGTCAGCCTCCAGAATTGTGAGAAAATCGACTTCTGTTGTTTTAAGCCACCTAATCTGTGGAACTTTATTGCGGAAGCCCCAGGACTCTAATACACTGGGAAAATGCTGGACTCAGTAAACTTGAGCTAGTTTCTGTTGTTGCTGTTGATTATGACATTTTTACTGCAGAATCTCTCAAGATTTTTCCTGCGCTATATATGCAGGGAATGTAACATGCAGCATTTTCCAAACTCACTTTCCCATGGAGTTAAAGACAACTAAGTTCACAGTTTCTGATCATCTCAGGGCTGGCATTCTTTGCAAACCCTGCTCCTGAGACCCCAGGAAGAGGGAGAGCTTCCTCAGAGCGCCAGGCAGCAGTGACGGTCGTCCCCAGGCTGTGTGTGCACAGGATGGGCAGGTCATAATAAGGACGATAACTTCGTGGTGGTTCTGAAGTTTTCAGAGAGTGCTCATGTTCTTCACCTCCCTTGACCTTTAGTAACCTGTGACAAAAACAGAGCAGACAGCGCCTTACACGTGAGGCGCCTTCCTTCCTTTCCGTGCTAATTTTTAGTAGCGCCAAGGACTCCCTCCGGGAGGCGGGTGCCTCTCTGGTGCGCCGAGCCTCTCCCTAGTGGGCGAGGTTGCCAAATTACTTGCTCTTGCTCGATCACATCCAGGGGCTTCTGCGCACCGTGTTGGCTGCCGCGCCCAGACAGCCAAGAGGGACTCTTGGAAGAAAACTTCCTGGAGGATTTTGTTTCCAAGTTAGATTCGTGGTGAGAGCTCTCAGGGACCTGGAGGGAGATGTCATCGGAGAGACTGTGGCAGGACGGTGAGCCTGGTGGGGTCCCTTTGGGGAGGGACGTGGGCCCCCGCCAGGGAGAGGGAGCCACTCCTCCCTTAGGACAGTCCTGCATTCTCGATCCCCTTGCCTGGGACCTGCCTGCTGGCAGCATCTTCATCTGCTTGCCAGTGGAGGTATTTTCATACCTCTCTCCAGACACCTACAATTTAATTTCAACCTTTTCTGAAGCTTCAGCGAAAGGTGCCAACCTCACCTCTCCACAACACTCTCGTGCCCACTCCGAGGGCCGGTGCTGATTGTCACTGCCAGAACTCATCTGCTCAAACCCGTACTTTTGTCTGACTGATCCCATTATGCTGAATTACAGCCACGCGAGAGCACTCGAGTGAGCCGAGCAAGTGCTTGGGCTCATTCGGCCCTCGTCAGCCCTCCCTTAGGAGCGGGGGGTGGTCTGCGAGCTATTCCAGATGTCTGTGGCTGCGCCGTGATTAGGGGCTTCGAGTCCGGGGTGGGCACCAATGTCACGTTGCGCCGGTCCCCTCCCAGTGATGGCTCCCACGTGTCCCGGCCCCGCCCGGCCTGGCTTCCAGCAGGGCTGCCAGTGAGCTGGCGGGAGGCTGCCGCTGTCTCCGGGGAGGAGGACAGACGCACCCAGGGTGGCTCCGGCTGCTTGGCAGTGCGGATCTCCTACGCAGGCATGACCTGCCAGTCCTGAGTGCGAAACCAGAGCCTTGCTTTCTGAAAACCCTTGGACTTAGTCTCGAATTGGCAGCTGCCTCTAATAGCCCCTCTCTAGTTCCCTGCATCTGGGTAAACCTCAGCTGGCAACAACTGCGTTCTGTTTACCACTAATTCTGATTGTGTTTAGCAGATGTTTTCTGGATCTCTCAGTTGCCTACAAAGTCTGTCTTGGTGTAACGTGAAGCGGCAGACTCCCTTCCATGAAACAGATTAATAAACCTCTAGGTTATTCTGAGGCAACTTCTTTAATGGCTGCAGATGTAGGGAATTTAAAGGGGAGCCCTTCAGATTTGACAGTGCCTGGGGCAGCGGGTCTCTTTCAATTCGAGACGGCCATCCGGGAAAGAGCTGGAGTTTCTGTCCCCACCCCACCTTCCCTCACGTACAGGGGAGCATTGCTTGTTCTTCTGCAGTCCCTGGGCTCAAAGAAGTTGAGAGTGACGTCTGTCTCCTGACACTCCTAACCCCACAGAATTTGGCTCTTTCCAGGTAGTGTTGCTTTTTTCAGCTGCTGGAAAAATATATTGTACCTAGTTGTGCCTAGCTGAGTGGGAAGTGGGTGGCACATCCGGCTTGTGGGTTCTGCTTAAGTCCGATGATGCTGTGCCCAGTCTTGGTCATGGCCAATCGGTGGGTGGGCAGTAGAATCCCATCTGTGCACATACTCAGTGCGACTTTCGGTAAGTCACTCAACATTATGGAAAAAAGTGAGGATGGTAATAGTACAAACCATTAGTCCCAACTCTGGCTTATGGAAACCCAGCTTGTACCGGCTGGAGCCCGAAAGGCTTGTGAAACGCAGAATCCAAGGGGAGCTGCCTTCAAGGACAGCGGACACGCACGTGCTCACACTCTCCCTTTCCTTCCTTCTCTCTCTCGGCATGTTGGCCTCTCCCAGGGGCCTTGCAGGGTGGCCACA